CTAAAACTGAAAAATGCTACACAGTAACTGATTTCAAGTAGTTCACATTACCTAGGTAAGAGATTACACAGGTTAATGGAAGCCACTCAAGGGACATATCCCTGTTGCACCTGTTGGTGAGCGCAAAGACATACAAATAGTATACTGACGTGAAAAACTTGGCTACTATAAATGGTATAGAGCGTAAGATCACCTTGTACAAATGTTCTGCATTGCAAAAGAAAATAAGATTCATATTTTCATACATAAGTATATATTAGAAATGTGTCATAGTCTCCTTTTGACTACCAAATTATTTGTAGTGAAAACACCATAAACTAGCCTCCCGTACTTAGTTGATACATAAGTATCTCTAACATAATATATCTATAGTAGATGGCTGTAATATATGAATGTGTACACAGATGGAAGCAAAAGCCTACATGTCCTTTCCACACATGAGAACAGCGTGAAATGTTATTTGACAACAAAATCTTGTCAATGTGTAAAGTTTCATATCCATCACATTCTTATCTTTCTCACGGGATTAACCGAGGATAGAGAGCATGCTCTGATACCATGTTAATGTGAAATAATTCGGTCATGATTCTGTGTCTATATAAAAGGGCAAAGCTCGATATACAAGATGAAACTAAGAATGGTAACCTATAAAAGTCAAAAATACCATCAAGGGAGAAATTGACAACTAAGGAAATTAACCAAATATGAAGAATTAAAGTTAAATGGGTGGGTTCTACCGTTACTTGGTTCGAGGAACCTCCAGATTTTATTAGTGATCTCTTATTTGAGGAATGTAACATGTAATTTTTCTACGGGCATGATCTTAGAGGGACATGGGGTACTCTATCAGTGGTTAGGTTCCTGCCCCCGCTTTGCGGTTGAGCTGGTAAGACTACTCAGCTAGTCATACGACCAAGCCTGTATGTGTAGATAAACTCGCCTAATCCCCAACGACATGGTCCGATTTTTTTTATTGACATCATCTGGAGGAGAGAGAACAAATATGTTGACTCTAGCTAGCATTATTGAATAAGTGAAATCATTAACAGATGCACTTTAGTACCTTTCGTTGAAGGGCAGTTCTCCTTATCCACGTTGTCGAGCGTGCAGTTCTCCTTATCCCTTCTACATAAGTTACATGCACCGTTAAACCATGAGAGCTCAAAGCCATGCGCAATTTCATTATATATAGCTTCACAGGACAAGTACTGGTGCAGGTCATCTACAGATGTTGAAGGTGACGCCACAACCATTTGTGTTATTTTGCAGGACTCCCCCAAATCGAATGAACTTATGTTGCCAATCATGACATAAGAAAACATTCTTAAAGCACTGGACAAAGAAGAATTGGCAGAATTGTTGATGCATGGAGCTGTATCAACAAGGCGAGGAGAATGCATTGGATTTGTACAGCTGATAAAAATTATAGACACTTCACGTATCGCTAGACTATACAGTCGGAGTTCTAGAATATCTTTGTCGCTATTATAAAAAATAGATGAAAAAGGATCTCCACGAGCACTAAGGTTGTAGGAGGTTAAAGAGTAAAGTGGGTTGGAGAAGTAGTTGTCTTTCTTCTGAACACCAGCATCCACAACTCGGATTGTCCAGTCACTGTAATTGATCGCCTTTACGTAATACTTTCCCGAATACAAGCATATTACTGTAACATTTTCCTCACAATATAGCTCAAAAGTGTTGTTGCCACAGTTTTGAAGGTCTCCATTTAAATAGAATGGAGAACTTATGTTAATATTGCCACAAAAAAGGGCACTATCTTCCAGGGTGGATGTTTGGAAACAGAAGGAAGGAGGAAGAAGGAGAAGGAGAAGGGCTATGTGTGCAGCAAATAGGAGACTTCCTCTAGACATAGTGAGAGAGAATATTAGGAGGAAGGGAAGAGGCATTCAATCCAATAGGAATTTATCGAAATTAAGGAAGAGGGCATATTAATTAGACAACTTAGATGCCTATGGCAAATAAGAAAGGAGTGACTTCAGAAATGGCCATTTGAAGGCAAGTTCACACTCACAAATACAAGATAGAATAAAGGAGAGGCAAATAAGAATAGTGTCTCTAGAACAACGCTCTTGTGCAGCAGGAAATGAAGAAGAAAACAACTGGAATTTTATTTATTCTCCCACAGCAGCGGCTCCTTTTCTTCTCTGCTCTCTGCCTCACTTCTCTTCTTTTCTCTCGGTTTGCCTTGCTCTAGTTCTCTTAAACAGCTCAACAATAAAACTCTGCGTTTCTCCGAAGGACAAAAGCCACATGCACATAATGAAAGTGCTGCCAATCAACTTTGCTTTCCCACTTTGTCTGCCAATCAACTTTGCTTTCCCACTTTTTCTGCCAATCAACTTTGCTTTCCCACTTCGTCAATGCTGCAGGGATTACACTTCCCATTGTCGGCTACTATGCTGGAGACTCATCCATCATAAAACCAATCATGCTATATATCTGAGTAGACGATATTAATGCTTAAATCTTATCCATATATCTGTCGTATACAATCAATTAATAACTTAGCAAGAGACCGGAATGCTGCAATCCATTTTTTTTGTTAGAATAATGCTTCTGATCAATTTCTTATGCTGGTTGCTCATAGTAGTAGATGTCGATGCAGTCCATGGCGGAGTAGGCCTTGAAATTTGCAGAGAAGCAAGATGTAAACCGGACGGCCCCGCCATCCGATTCCCATTTCGACTTAAAGGTAAGCAGTCAATCCATTGCGGTTACCATGGCTTTGATCTGTCATGCACTAACGACAACCAGACTCTGCTCGAGATGCCATCTTCATCTAACAAGCTCTTCGTTGAAAAGATTAAGTACACATCTCAGGAGATTGAAATATCTTACCCATTAGGAAATATTTTTTACTTCAGTTTATCTTCTTCTCCCTTACAATTTGTGCCTGGACACAATAACTATAATTATACCCTATTTAGTTGTTCATATCCTAGGGAAAGGGATGCATACACAAGCTTTTGTATGATGCAATTGAGCCCTTCCGACCTTGACAATCCTGAAAACGGTATATATGCTGTCAACACTCAATGTTCTGTTGATAGACTGCCCCTAGAGTCTTGTACCAAGCTGCATGACTATACATCAAGTCCAGACATATCATCCTTTCCAATGAAGTTGCATTGGTCCAAACCATCATGTCGACATTGCAAAGAGATGGGCAAGGCATGTAGATCAAAGATTAGTGAATATAGTCTTGCAGATGTTAATAAGACTGCAGAAAGCGAATGTTTACATTTCCCTGAAGGTATCATTTAACTAAACTTGGCTTTGTTGCAGTACTTTGCAAGCAAATATTATTTATTTTCAGTCAGGACTCAAAATTTTATCGATTTCATAGCAAAAGTACTTATTAGCTTAAGTAACAACTTTTACAGGTAGTAGCCGTAGAGGGACACGCATAAAGATATCAGGTGAGTTGTCCATAAATTAAAATACTTGTGTTGATGTATAAATCTGAATCAAATATAATTAGGTTAATTTTTGTCATCTCTATCTGCAGTTTGCACAGTTTCTGTGGCTCTTATCGCAGTGGGGGCTCTCGTCATCTACCATGCCTATAGCTCCAACAAAACAGAGAAAACAAATCAGTTGAGAATTGAAAGATTTTTGGAAGATTACATAGCTCAGAAGCCAAGCAGATATTCCTATGCTGATATTAAGAGGATAACAAATCAATTCAAGGACAAGTTGGGGCAAGGGGCCTATGGAACAGTTTTTAAAGGGAAGCTTTCCTCTGAATTGCTTGTTGCTGTGAAAATCCTCAACAATTCAAATGAAAATAATGGAGAAGATTTTACAAATGAAATGGGAACAATGGGTCGCGTGCACCATGTCAATGTGGTTCGCTTGGTTGGCTTTTGTGCTGATGGGTTTATATGAGCTCTTGTGTATGAATTCTTACCAAATGGCTCATTACAAAACTTTTTATCATCAGCAGATAATAAAAATTCTTTCCTTGGTTGGGATAAGTTGCAAGATATTGCTTTAGGTATTGCCAAAGGAATTGAGTATCTTCACCAAGGGTGTGACCACCGAATCCTCCATTTCGACATCAAACCCCACAACATTTTGCTAGACCAGAATTTCACTCCGAAAGTTTCCGATTTTGGTCTAGCCAAGTTATGCGCAAGGGATCAAAGCGCAATATCCATGACAACCGTCAGGGGGACCATGGGCTACATTGCACCCGAAGTGTTCTCTAGGAACTTCGGTAGCGTGTCCTACAAGTCAGATGTCTATAGTTTCGGGATGATGTTGCTGGAAATGGTTGGTGGCAGAAAAAACTTTAAGGTCATGGAGGACTCCACCAGCCAAGTCTACTTCCCGGAATGGATTTATAACCTTTTAGAACAAGGGGACGACCTAAGGATCCATATTGAGGATGAAGGAGATGCTGAAATTGCAAAGAAACTTGCCATCGTGGGTCTATGGTGCGTCCAATGGCACCCAATAGATCGTCCTCCAATGAAAGTTGTAGTTCAAATGTTAGAAAGAGAAGGTGACAATCTAACCATACCACCCAATCCTTTCTGCTCTACTTCGAATTGAGTGAATACAACCATACTGTCTGCAAGGCATCTGGACATTTGCGTACCTCAAGAGTTCTACCAGTTACCATGATTTGATATGAGATCATGCACTGTAATATTAAATAACATATGGTGTTGAATATCGTAGTATATGCTAAGTGTTTGGGTTTGAATTTGTCATGAGCCAAATTGTAATATGTGTTAAGTGTTTGAGTTTGAATTTCTAAACAAATATCAATCCAGATTTCATAGATTTTTGATATTTCCCAGAGAGTTTCCTTAGAGATTTCAAGCCTTATTTAGGCCGCACAGATTCTAGATTACATTGTAGATCGTTTTGCAATCATTTCCCCACGTTAGTAAGATTTCCAGTTGATGTATCATTTCCAGTTAAGTTTTGCTGCAATCATTCGGTTAGAGAAGGACATTCCTCAACCATAATTCATTCAAGGACTTTACATTTTCCATAACAATGTCACTATTTGCTCTATATTAGTGAGTCGAGCTGGTTTTCTAAACTATTTTCAGTTCATCTTGTTATTTTCAAATGTAATGGCTTTTAATTCAGTTCCATCGATGCTTTATTCATCGAAGGCAGGACGACGAATTTATATTGAGTCAGTTCCCCACTCAGTTCACAATTCTCAACATACCCATTTCCAACAAGTTTTGCTTCATAATTGGTAGTTGAAATTCGAAGAAAAAGACTACTTTAAATCAATATTTTCAAAAGGTGACTTACGGTCTTGTAATGAAAAGTCGAGGAACGCTTTTTGTTTAAAGAAAGACAAAAAGAAAGAAACCATCATATCATTCGATCCATTTTTACAAAGTAGATTAAATATTATTGAATATTAAATAAGTAGAAAGAAGACCAAGACCTGGATCTGCACTCAACATATATTTAACGTTTTTTTCTTCCCAACTTCTTCTTTTTCTACATTCACACTTGACCAGCATGTGCTCTCTGATTGACATAAGTCAACAACAACGTGCTGCTTAAATTAGACTAGACCACATTATCTTTAGACTCGTTTTCAATCAGTGATGAATATCACCCAATTTTTCAAAAGAATTTAGATGAAAATTTAATAAAATATAAGTCGTATTTAATAAAACAGTCCCGCTCACTTAAGGACCTAAAAATAAGGTTATGTGAGGTCCTATTTAATAAAGGCTATTAGATTACCAGCCAGTTTGGAATTGTTGTTACTTTTTAAAAAAGTTGCTACTGTTGTACTTTGAAAATAATTAGTTGTAAAGTAAAACAGCTCCATGTTTGGTAAAACCGTTTGATAAATTTTAATATAAAACTGTATAATTGTGAATAATGACTCAAATGTATAGATAGAAAGTGCCTGTTTGGTATTGCTTATTTGGGGTGATAAGTAATTTTTTAAAATTTTGGGAAGCCCAACCCGTTTGGTAAACTATGAGAAAATCACTTATTTTAAAAATTGTTGTGAGAGAAAGCTATTAGGGAAAGCAACTAATAAGGTGCTTTTATTTTCTGATTATGCAGAAATCAGTTTCGAAGAGGCGTTGGGTTTAATGATTATGCGGCAATCATTTTTTGATTATATGGAAATCCGTACCAACAACACTTTTAACAAAAAGTTTACCAAACGCCAAACTGATTTCTCTCACAGCAAATCTGACAGAGATTATTTTCACAGCACAACAATGACAAACTAGCCCTAAATATATCAATTTTTTATATATGAATATTTTAATCATCAACGAATAGACTGTTTTGCCCACCAATCCTTTTTCTTTTTCTTGGCATTTATCCAGAACAACACCAAATATCTTATAATATTATAAATAAATAATCAATACTCTCTGAATATATTAATACTATCTGACAAAAATTAATCAATACAGTTCCACGTTCCAAACCAACCCTTTCATTGTCAACAATAAAACTCTAATTATTGTTTCTTACCCACCCCTTACCCACCCGTGTAGACCAAAGCTAAAAGCCATATGCACATAATGCTGCCAATCAACTTTGCTTTCCCACTTTGTCAATGCTGCAGGGATTACACGTCCCATTGTCGGATACCATGCTGGAGACTAATCTGTCGTACTCATCAAATGTAATGAATGATTTTTGTTTGTCAAAGTTAGAAAGGCAAAAGGGCATTTACTTCAGCACCTGGTCACACTTTGCCTCGAAGTTGCTGTAACTCTCCCCAAACTTCAGCATTTCATATTAAATTTATATTAAAATTTTGTAACTGTTGAGAAAATATTGAAAAAATCTGTACTGTGGACCCTCAAATATTGAAAATTATAAATTAATTTCTATTTTCCTATCATGCGTAGCTAATGAAGTTTAAGTGGCGAGTTTTGTTAGGCGGCGAATTATATATAATGAATATATCAACGATTAAATATTATTAAATATTAAATAAGTAGAAAGAAGACCAAGACAAAGACCTGGGTCTGCAGTCAACATATATTTAAGATTTTTTCTTCCTAACTTATATTGTTCTGTTTTTTCTACATTCACACTTGACCAACATGTGCTTTCTGATTAAACAACAATGTGAGTAAACAACAATGTGACACAGTATCAACTGCTTAAATTAGACTGGACCACATTATCTTTAGACTCGTTTTCAATCAGTGATGAAGGTGTGAATGCATTTTCCATTTTATCACCCAATTTTTCAAAAGAATTTAGATGAAAAATTAATAAAATATAAGTCGTATATAATAATGAAACAGTCCCGCTCACTTAAGGATCTAAAAATAAGGTAATGTGAGGTCCTATTTAATAAAGGTCATTGGATTAAGGGCCAATTTGGAATTGTTGTTACTTAAAAAAAAGTTATTTCTGATATGCTTTGAAAATAATTAGCTGTAGAGTAAAACAGCTCCATATTTGTTAAATAATATTTTTAAAATGTTGTTAGTACAAAAAGCAATGTCAAAACTATTTGGTAAATTTTATTATAAAACTATTATAACTGTGAATAATGGCTAAAATATATAAATAGTTTTGCCAACCAATCCGCGAGAAGTACTCCAATAATAGACTAAATATATCAATTTTTTATATATGAATATTTTAATCATCTGCGAATAGACTGTATTGCCAACCAATCCGTTTTCTTTATCTTGGCATTGTGCAAGACCAAAGACCTTGAGGGGTCAAAAGTCCTCAGCAGGATTTCCAATTATTTCTTATGTCTTACAAATAAAAAATTAGTGCACAATGTTATTATGATAATTGAATGAGACAATGAAGGGTGTTTTCGTGTACCATGGACAGTGAACACAGTAAATTGACAATCAAAGATTTATATGATAAAGTTCATCTACACTCCAATTTCATCTTTATTCTCATTCTCAGTTCCATTTTTCTCTCGTTTTACTTTATATGCAAGCACAAAAAATAAAAATTTAAAACTAAAATTGAAATAGTTTTCAAACGGATTTCTTTGTGTCAATCATTTTCATATTGACTTGGTGCTCATTTTGATTCCAATCTGTTTACTTTTTAGTTATTATATATATATAAGGTGTGATGGTGTGATGGTTTGTTTGCTTCTTGCACTTCCTTTTCAATTTGTAGTTTTCTTGGGATTTTTTTCCATTTCTATATAGTATGCATCAAATTGGCACAAGTCTTTAAGAAATACAGATAAATTTCTTGGAAATTTTACTAATTTTGGCGTTGAAATTTCTTTACAGTGTGTTTGGATGAGGAAGTTTAAATTTTTTTTTTTATAGAAATTGTAAATGATAGAACTTGGACACCTTAATAATAAAAGTACAAATATAATTTAAAGAAGATTCTAATGATATTTCTCTTTTCAAAGTTGGAAGAGATCCAAGTATTATTCTCTACTTCTTGAAGTGTTGTCTACCTGTGCGAAAAATTTCAAAGTGACTTGGTGCTCATTTTGATTCCAATCTGTTTACTTTTTAGTTATTATATATATATAAGGTGTGATGGTGTGATGGTTTGTTTGCTTCTTGCACTTCCTTTTCAATTTGTAGTTTTCTTGGGATTTTTTTCCATTTCTATATAGTATGCATCAAATTGGCACAAGTCTTTAAGAAATACAGATAAATTTCTTGGAAATTTTACTAATTTTGGCGTTGAAATTTCTTTACAGTGTGTTTGGATGAGGAAGTTTAAATTTTTTTTTTTATAGAAATTGTAAATGATAGAACTTGGACACCTTAATAATAAAAGTACAAATATAGTTTAAAGAAAATTCTAATGATATTTCTCTTTTCAAAGTTGGAAGAGATCCAAGTATTATTCTCTATTTCTTGAAGTGTTGTCTACATGCGCGAAAAGTTTCAAAAGCAACAAATTTTTCTTTCTGATGTTGATTTTGAAAATTTTCGCCTACCACATGTGGACAATAGTTAGAAAAATAGATCAATAATACTTGAATCTCACTTCTCTCCCTCAATTAAATGTTTGGGCTTTTCACATATAAGTCCTTTTTTCGGTGAAACATATAAGTCCTTTTTAACTTAACTTTTTTTTTTTGGCCAAAATTTTCAACTTTACATTTTAAAAACAAAATATTAATTATTATTATTATTTTAACTCGAGCACAATATCGTAGAAAACACCTTGTTGTACTTTTGAATGAAGAAATGCTGTAACACACTAAGGGTATGTTTGGTACGCTTCACTGGACTGGACTGGACTGGACTAGGTTAAATAGCACTCGAAACCCATGTTTGGTAACAGACGGGACTAACTTAAATGAGACTATATAGTCCAATAGTGAAAAAAAGGCCTCACTCGCCCGTCTAATATAGTGAGCCCGAAAAGTGGTTCACTAAATAGCACGTTCCTAAATAGAACATGCTAGTCCGACTCCTCTCTTTAAAAAATATTAGGATTTTATTTGTTTTCTTTTTATTATTGTTTTAAATTTTTAATTGGGATTTTTAACATTTATTTATTTATTAGGTCAAAATCCGTAATTAAATTTAAATATTACAAGAATTATTTTGATATTGCATTTGACCACATTTGTATTTGGAAAATCAAACTATAATAATTGACAAATGCTTGATATTCTTTTTATATTGAAACAAGTTTAATAATTCATGATGTGCTGCTTTCTTTATCGCAAGCAATTATTACCTTGTTAAATTATATTTTTCAGTTTAAAGTCAAAAGTCAAATATACAAAAATTATACACACATATATATATATTTTAAATTATTTTTTACTTGGTCTTCCATGAAAGACGTAGAATTATATAGAGTGAGTTTAGCTCCTTAGTAATGTTTCGACCAACAAAAAATAGAAGATTTGTAGTAGTCTTGGGGCAAGGCTAAGGAGCAACTAAGATAAATCTTGAGAAGCCAAAAAAAAAAAATCAAAATTTTATTCTTCATAAACAATCATAATTTTATTTGTTTTATTGTTTTAAATCTTTGAATTGTGTTTCTTTGTAGCATTTATTTATTTTTAGGTCAAAATTTCAAATTAAATTTAAATATTACAAGAATTATTTTTTAGTCTGACACAGCACCAAACATAGGTCTTCACTATTTTTACAATCCAGCTTCTTAGTCCGACGCAGCACCAAACGTAGGTCAGTACTTAATCCAGCTTAGTCCAATCCGAGCTAATCCAAGACAGTCCCAGGATTTAGTCCAGTCCATGACAGTCCGCCGTACCAAACGACCCCTAAGGGGTTAGCTGAGGGCTTGTGGTTACCCAAATTTTTTAGATGCTCACTTTTTTTATTTATTTAATTGATTAGCTCTTGAAGTCAATTTTAGTACATTTGCTCTCAAAATTGGTCACATGATGCACATTTGACTAAATTATTCAGGACTAAATTGGTTTCTTCTCACGCTTCTCTTTCTCCCCTTCACTACTCCCCTCCCCTTCCCTTTTCTCTCATCTCATCATGGCCATAGCCGTAAGTGTCGTGGTCTCTTTCTTTGAAGCACGCCCAAATGGGCTTTGGGCTTTGGACTTTGGACTTTGGGCTCCTAGTGCTTGTGACATGTTGGAAGAAAATCTAGAACCATAATTCAAGGGTAATTTGGGAACTCAAGCGAGACTCGGGTAACGACAACAGACACTCTGCAGGTTTGGGGTGGTTCTCAATATGGACCCCAAGGTATTAATTTTATCAATTTACACCCTTATGTTTTCATCATCATCCAATTTCATTCTTCCGTTAAGTTGACCACATAGTCAATCGTTAAATGCTGACGTGGCACCCGTGTGACCCACCTCATCAGCGGATTGGGCATTCAGCGTACGACAGTTGAAGGGTATTTTAGGTTTTGACAATTCCACAAAAACTAAATTGCGCCCAATTTGGGCACGCGTTGCGAAGCTCGAGTTAGAACAAAAATCCCCAAAAGTCACCCTCAACCATTGTTTAACCTAAATCCTATAACTCCATAGATGAGAGCTGAGAGAAATACAGGTGCTGCAATTTTGGAAGAACTGAGAAGAAATTAGTTGGGATTTCAGGGCTCCAAGCGCTCCGCATCCCTCTTACAGTAAGTTGCTTTAAATTTTTGCGAATTTAGTTATCTGTGGTAAATGGGTTAGATTAGTGGTAACTATTATGTTTACTTTTTAGTGACGGTTTCGTTTGCTTCTTGCACTTCCGTTTCAATGTTTTTTTTTTTTTTGGGATTTTTTTCCACTTCTATATAGTATGCATCAATCAATTGGCACAAGTTTCATTTCTTTCAAATAGGGAAGTTGACCAATGATTACTCTCCTAGTTTATGTGAAGCATTGGTTTAAAAAAAAGAAAAAAAAGTTGATGTGAAAGTTCATAGTTTTAGCGAAACATATAGTTATCGTTGTATTAACTCAATAATTGGTTAGCACTTGAGTGTTATTGACAAGACTCACCCCGAATGCCTCAGAATTTACGACGAATCCTGTAGATTATCCAACAACAATTTGATGCCGGACCCACTTACTAACATTACAGCCTCTTTTTCCAAATTAAGGAAAAGAGGAACGAGACTTTCTGCCAAAATTTCGGTCGAGTCTCCCTTGAAAAATGGACATTTTCCAAAATTTTCAACCTGTTCAAACACAATTTTATAATCCCAACAACAACATGCACAATGTAAATTCATGCAATTTGCACAAATGGCCTCCGACCTTACATCCAACCCTAATATGGGCGGTAACAAAGCAATCTAAGGAATTTCAGTTTACAAGAAAAATATATAATTCAACAAAAAAAAAAAAGAGTAAAAGAGAGTCTTACGGAAGCTCGGGGCTCGGAAGTAAAGATCTCGGCTCGGCTGCTCGGTTCAAGTCTATCTATTGCCTAGGGGCACAAAACATAAAATTGTGAGTGGACAAAAAGAAAGACAAAAACAAAATTTGTTATCTTTGAAAACAACATTTAATAACCCCACCGTTTAGAAATTGATGCTGAAAACGGCATGCATTCAAAACTGAAATAGATATATATATATATATATATAGCTAAGCCAAAACCAAAGTGAAATCCGTATTCTCGAAATGGTGTACTAACACCCATCCCATTCAAAACCTTTCCCATTTTCCCCAAACTACTCTCTCGAAACGCGTGCCCATTGGCACGACGAGCAAGGACGGACCCTCACCGACAAATAAGAATGAATAAATAGGTATATAAATAATATGTAATATAATATAATATAATATAATATAATATATATCTATATATATATAAGTATGACCACTACCAAACTTGTACCGGGGAAACAATCCAACCGGGGGACTGTTTGAGTAGACCACATGGAATAATCTTCAATTGACCATGTGGCTAGGGAACGAGCCATCCAACCGGGGGACTAGGCTCACCAGCACGCACAACAGTATCCTCAACACTCGTGCGTCTGTGACAAGTCCTACGTGCACAGACTAACCTTGCTAAGGGTCTACGAAACACCCTGTCAAGGGTGCCCGGGTTCCGACATATTCAAGTATCCCATAATTCTAAATATCCAAACCAAGAATTCCAAATCTGGGGAGGTACACAGGGTAGTGCTACTAGCACTCAAAATTAACTTAAACCACAACCCAATCCACATTTCATAAACTCTTTCCAACAAACCCATGTACCCAACACATATCTAAATATAGATGGAAATTCTCAAGAATGACATATATCAATTCCATACAATCCAAATTCGCAAAATCCAAATATACTTCCAATAATTTCATGAAAATATTATATTCAACAATTAAATATATACTAAACTCAATAATTCAAAGAACTCAATATGCATATTTTCCTATCTTGAAAAATAATGAATATTATTTAAAACAAAGTCCACTCCCAGATAATCCCACGATGCTTGACCCTGAGAGGGTCCCGCCTGTTGCGTATGCTGGGCCGGAGTACCTATTTAAGAATACGAGGGCTAGATTAAAATAAAATACTTCGAATGAGAACTTTAATTTAAATTCCTAGTTTTCCCAAGATTCAAATGTGCACATGACAATCGAGGAGTTCCTAAGGTCCAATTACATATTTCGAATGGTGGAAAAACCTCGGAAGATGCTCGGTCAACCGAGTGGTCAAAACCTATTAAACTTGGTCAACAGGGTCCACGGGGCCTAGGACCTCCGACTTCCAATTTGAAAATTCCTACGGGTTCAATGAAGTTTATTAAACACGTCCTGTAAGTTTGGTCTGAATCGAATGGTCAGATCTCTCATGATCCCATGATCGGACGGTCACCGTTTTACGCAAACTTTAAGTCATTGAATCGGAGCATCAGAGACTCCGATTCACGATCCGCGAATTCCTACATGATCCCAGAGATACCTAGATAAACATATTTGACAATGGAGTCGATCCAACAGTCCGAACATATCGAACCCGGATAACGCCTAATATGCTTAAATCCGATCGATGGTCAAACGATAACCAAATGAGCCACCCAAACATAGCCCACATGCCACCACTCGCATCGGCAGAGAGTGGGTGTCTTGAGAAAATTCCGGCAACCAGAAAATTCTTGAAACACCCAACAATATGTTTACCTATGTCATCAGGACAACTAGTGGAGCAACTTTTGTTCTTGGGTCACGACCAAAAAGTGGTCGTAACTTGTCGGAAACTCGAGCCGAAAACAGGTTGAAACTTTGAGTTGTAAAACGTGTTTCAAAACTTCAAAATCAATCCTAACCAACCCAACCATCAGCTAGATCATGTTGAAAGGATGAGAAAGTATACCTGGATCGACAAATTTGGTGACCGGAATAGTTAGAAATGACGACGAAAGTTTTGGTTAAAAACCGGCGGTTTTTCTACGTTTTCCGGCGGCTGGAGCGGCGAGGATGGGGTGAGGTGGGAAGAAGACGGTGTGCTGGTTCTTTTGGTACCGGCCCTGTCGCTTAGGGTGGCAAGATGTGGTGGTGGTGGGTCAAAACGGTGGCAGGTGTTTAAGGGGGGGTTTCTTTGTGCGAGAGAGAGAGAGAGAAGAATCAGGTTTAAAAAAAAAAATAGTAAATTGAGCTTAGACCCATAAAATTCATTTTAAATCACCTACAACCCTTCCCTTTATTTTTCTATAAATACCCAATTTTTTCAAATAATACCCAATGATTAAGATCCAACTAAGCAAGTTACCTAATATAACTTAAAATCTGATTTATTGTATTTTTCAAATTCCAAAACTACCCCTATTTATAGGTTAATGTGTTATGGGGGGTAATGACACACGTTGAATTTGGAAAGATCTCCAAATGGTTGTAATGGATATAGGAATTAATTTAGAAACTTATTTGAAATTAAATATTAAATTCAACACAAATATGTTGCCAAGGATCCACCCCCTATATATATACACACACACGTATATTAGAAAGAAATCAACGTGTTATAGTATCCTTATGATCACCAAATTATTTGCAGTGAAAAGACAAATAATATATCTAGGGGATAGCTGTAATATATCAATCTCCACATAAACTACAGAGAACATGGCAGCAAAAGTCTATTGATACTAAGGCTGTGTTTCGTTCTAGAAAGAAATTCATGGGAAATGAGTTCACATGCATTTTCCCAAGGCATTTAACAACTGCATATTATAAAGTCAAATGAATAAATAAGTGGTAATAAGCATGATGGGTGGTGATGGAGGAAACATATGCACTATACCTTTTGAATGGTATATCTAGAGAAAAAAAATTTAGTGACTTTAGCATTAATAATTATTGAATAAGAGAATGTTCGTCAAGTTTTGAACACTGCGATGCCTCTGGCCTCTAGTAGGCCATACATGGCTTGTTGGTGAAGGAAACGAAACGAGAGTGATCCAAGCCCAAAAGTGTTGCGCCCTTGTTTTCTTATCTTCTAATCAAAGTCATTGTGCTCTAAAGAGGGGAATCTGGCTTTCGATAGGTTCTTTTCTATGCCTCAGTGAAGAGGACTTTAATTTTTCACCTGTTGTGGAATAAAACGCAAGATGGATGATAATTTTAGACTGTCATCGAACAAAGAGTACAATAACGAGCCTTGCATGAGAAGTGTCCGATGGATGACATAATACTAGGAAGCAATCATATATCCAACAGATACTTGATAATAAATACAAATAAAAATAAAGCTAGTTTCAACAAAACTACAAGAGCCTTATCGGACAGAAAAAAATTCTATCGGACATAACTGCAATCTACTTGAGATAGTGCAGAAGGTATGTTCGATGAGAGTTTGTCAGAATATCTGCAGTCAGAACTTGTCCGAACCACAGATAAAAGTTTTCATATAAGTGAGCTAGAAATCGAGACCAACTATCAAATCATACCAAGCAATGCTGGCAGAGCATATAGATTACAAACAATAGTAATAATTCCAATCAAAAGTTGTCAACTGGGAACTGGACAGAGTATGTGTTTGGGAAAAGAATAGAATTTAAATCAAGAGTTGTCAATTGGGAACTCAAAGAAACGGAGAGGATTCGATTCAAGACTTGGCTTTGGTCTGCAGGGAGACGCTTTGCAAGAGTTTGAGTTTGGGTTACTTCGAGATTGTCGAGAGTAAGCATATTTTGAAGGCTGTTCAAAATAGGTTTGATTGATTCCTTGTTGGATTCTTGATACTGAGCTTTCTTCCTCTATTTATAGGCTTCAAAGTCTTCAGAAAAAAAGGATGACTTGATGGGCATTGCTGCTTCAAACCATAAATAATTTACAAGATAATGCGCGCATGCGTTTCAGTTGATCAGTGGCTGCATGAGGCACCACAACAGGCCAACTCTGAGTTTTTTTTACCGTTCTTTGCATTTTAGGGACTAAATATTCCTTGCCAAAGCATACTTTTTTATTGCTTTGCTAGAAATCAGTGTGCACCACATGTATAAACAAAGCGGTTTGAATTGTTTCCGACCCAAAGCTTAAATTATTGTCCAATTAGGTCATGCTATTTGTTAAATGGACTGTGATTAAAAACCACTTAAATTGGTTATTAATACACCTTAATTGGCTTTTACTATAGTTCATACATTTTCTGTCCGAAATGGAATCGTAGCATCGGACATCTCTTATGTATGAAGTGTTACTGTAGTGTCGGACACTGGTGTCCGAAGCCATGCATTGTAGCTTGGGCCACATGTGTCCGAAGTGCTACTTGTGTCCGACCATATGCTAGTCAATGTTTGCAACTTGTCCAAAGGGCTTTGGACCGTGCTAGTCGCTAATTGGGCTTTTTTCAAATGCTGGGTAAACTCTTGACGATTTGGGCCACAGTCAATTAACCAAGAGACTGGCCTTTTAACTCTAGGAATTAACCTGTGTTAATTTTGGTATGAACAGAGAAATCATTAACATATGCACTGTTGAGCCTATTATTAACAACTAAAATGAGTTATTAAACATAGCAACTTTAATTCTCGCAAGTGCACGAACCATTTATAGTTTAGCTTATGTAAATACGAGATCGATCCCACGGAGAATGGTAACATGGTTACAAGTTAAACTACTTAGAATGCTGGAAAAACAGAAAACAAAGGAACAAAGTAACTAACTAAGGGCAAGGTCAAATTTAACAATGACCTTTGCTAATTACTCAAGGTCTAGGACAGAATTCTAGCACCACACACGCACTCGAAATTTGGGGGGGGGGGGGGGGGGGGGGGTTTGTTGTTGAAATGAATACACAAAGTGGAATGAAAGTACTGGAACAAAACAATGGCAACAACCAACAAGTTGTGAAACAATGATTGAGAGGTGTTAGAGCCTTGGAATCTACCACTAGTCTTCTTATCCAAGTTATGAATGCATAGAAATTGACTCAAGCTTCATCAACAATAGATTATCGCATTCAAGCCTATGGTATCTAGGTGCAGGATGCATGATTCTCCTAAGGCATGTAATTGTGCATGGTTTCTACACAACACGTGATCTCTAATATGCAACCTAAGCATAGTATCTACTTAGAATAAAGCATACAAGAGTCATTAAGCTCCTTGAGAATATGATAATTGTTGCGTTGATACAGCTGCACCAAAATAGATTCAGTTGCATCCTCAACTTGTGATACTCGCAAGTGCACGAACCGTTGGTAGTTTAGCGTATGTAAGTGCGAGGTCGATTCCACAGGGATTGGTGATTGAATGATCCAATTTAGTTTCCCTACACAAAACAGAAATGAAAACAAAGAACATAAAACAAGGAAGAAAGAAATAAGTAACTCAAGCAAATAAGTTCCCAAGTTCAATTAGATTAACGGATTGATTCTAGCTAAAGTATGATTAAGCCATGGTGTGTGGTCATAACCTTGTGTTCCTAATTCCCTAATTTGATCATTTGTTGTCTAACCTAAAATTAAGCATTAGGAACCCATTAAGCATAGAAGAACAATTTAAACAACCAAGCATGTATCTAATCCCTGTTGTCGAATGTCCATACATACTCTTC